GTTAGTTAGTTAGTTAGTAGAGAGAGAGAGAGAGAGAGAGAGAGAGAGAGAAATAATTTATCTGAACAACCCTACGAATTGTCGGAAAAGAGACGAAGTTGCTCTCCTTATAGAGAGAGCTATGATCGCGACCACGATAATTATAAAGAGGAATTTAAGGTCCGATTTGAAGATGTAAGTGTAGCCGTAACACTGAGCTGCCATCCCGATCGCGAAGCACGATATACCCAAGAAGTTGTGGCCGAACTTGATCGCGACCGGTTTTATCACGTTTCGAAGTTTGGCCGCTATAAAAACTGGATAACCGGCCACGGACAAGAAGACGGCCAGCACGGTGGAAGTGATGCCCAGAATCCCGTGAATCGACTTGAAATGCACCCGTTTCACTCGATACATCACCACAACGCCGGAAACGATGAGGATCACGCCGAGAATTTGTAGGATCCAGTGAAGATGGCGTTTGGCACCCCTTGAAAGAAACTTGGTGAAAACATTGTCACCGGCAAACACGACAATGGCCTCGGACATCAGCAGGACGTACTGAAAAGGGTAAAGAGATCGAGTGGTGAGCGGTGACGGAAGTTGGAGTCGTTGGGCGAAGTCGTTAGAACTTCTTTGGCCACTTGGTTTAGCCGGGTCTTTCCCCCCTCGGGAGAGGGACAAAGTCTAGTTGGAGTAGGCGAGCACGGGTCTCATAGTTGAATTTCGATCTCGTTGTTGCCGTGTGCGAATCAAGGAGTGTGTAAGGGTGTAAGTGGAAAATAAACGATGCAATTTGAATCGGCGAGCGCAATCGTCACCAGGAGGATACCCTCTTGGGGTAAGCGAAAACTTTTTCCATGGATTTTCTTTGGATTTTTTTCTTTTTCTTTTTTTTTTTTTCTTCTCTCCTCCCTTTCCTTTATTCCTTCTTTTTGTCCGGCAAAGAAGCTTTCGCCCTCTTTTGAGCGATTAAACCGCGAGCGATGCTCGCGCAAAGTTCGCTCTCTCGATTCAATTTCACAGTTTATGTTGAGCGTTTTCAGGTTTCGCCTGGGAATTTCTTCGGTTTGTTCGCCTTTTCCCCGTTTTCCGCTCCCTTATTGCGATCTTTTGTGATGGAGGAAGAGGCGTTGGAAGAAATTGCACGGAATCCGGGAGGGACGATGATCTTAAACCGGGAGAGGGAATGCGTTTGAAAAATGTTTTATTATCGATCGAGATAATAATACGTACCCCAATCGTGCAAAAGATGGTGTGTAAATTGACCACGGTGGAGCCCCACGAAAGATACAGGGTGTAGGCCGTTAGGCCAACGATAAGCGCGTGATTAACGAGATCGAGTACGGCGAGGCACGTGCCGCGTGCTCTTCGTCTCCACTCCTCTCGCGGCAAATCTTCCAAATTTGTCGAATCGGCCGGAAAACCTAAAATTCGCGCGGCATCCACTTTTCCCATCGGGAATGACTTCTCCTTGCTCCCCCCTTCCGCTTCTTCCATAATTTTGAGAGATCGTCTGTAATTTAATAAAAAAAATTGTAAGGTCGGTTTTAAATCAGGAAGAATTTTATCACCCGACTGCATGGAATAGCTCGGTAAAATGAAACTATTCCATAACATTCTTCGGCCAACTTCTATCTGACATTTGATTAAATTACTTTATACCGTGATATTGCTCGAGTTATCCGTTTCGTCGATATCTATGTTACTTAACATTAACAAGCTTCTCTCTATTCTCCTAAACTTCGCCCCTTGCCCATTTCTCGTTCCTTTCCTTTTTTTCCTTTTCCTTTTCTTTTTTTTCTGCTAATTTTCGTCGAACGAATCGATGCGAACGACGATAGACGAACGTCGAGAGATATCGAGAAATCTCTTTGACTAATTTCTCAATGGTGCACGAGAGCCGGAGAAATCGTCGACCTTCTTCCCGTATACGATGTAAAGTTTCTTTACGACATCTTTGGCTTTGGTAAAAATATTTACCAAATAGTCAAAGAGCCAGCCGGGCGGCAATAGTAATTACTAGGCACGATAAGGGGAATTACAAAGGAGACTGGGGTGGTATTTGTGCTGAAGTGATTACATCTGGGAGCACGATGGTACTGACCCCCTTTAAAATCAGGCCACTGATCGAAAGAAATGAAAATGAGTTCGTTGATCCTGAATATTCCGCAGGAAACGAAAATGTAAAAAAGAAAAAAAAAAAAGGCGTACGACGTTGAGAAAATAGAAAATTTAATTTTGAACGATTAATCTACAATCCGATCGATGCTTTGCGGTTTTATCATCGGTCGAATATCTTGTACGTGTGCGTACAACTGGAGCAACAATCGTCTAGAAACGAGAAATTGCACGGATGATCGATCCTTCCGTCCAAAAAAGAGAGGAAAAAAAAAAAGAGGGGGAGGGGAAAAAAGGAAGAAAAGTTTCTGCTCGTGAAACACGATTTTCTTTTTTCAATCGAGACGCCGTAATCTGTTGGAGTGAATCGAACTCGACTGAATAAAACAAACAAGTATACTCGTTCCTCCGTGGAGGAAAGAGGAGACGACGCGGTACGCTCCAACCTTCATCCTCACTTCCCTTACTATTTTTATTTTTTCGATTTATTTTGTTCACAATATAGTTCGTTAGAACCGCGCTTCCTTCGTTTCGATTTTTCTCTCCTCGTTCGAGAGACGGACTGCTGACTGGCCGCAACTTCTCGCCTTCGATTTCCTCTTCCTCTCATTCGCGAGCGAGTTGAAAAATTGTTTTACCCGCCGGTTTATCACAAACATCGCGTCCGCCTGGCAATCAAGCATCCGAGACGAGAAATCAGAAATATTACGATCGTTAATCGAATCGCGCGAGATTTATCCCCCCTTTCTCCCTCTCTCCTCTCTCTCTCTCTCTCTCTCTCTCTCTCTCG